GGTAATCGCCCGGCCAAAGGCGAAAACCCTTTAGGAACCGTGCATCTGGACAGGGTTGCTGTCTATCGGGCTGCGACCAATGCCCAAAACACTTCTGCAAGCCAGGCGATGCCGGGGTTCCCAGTCCGGCTACCTTTTAACCGGTATATATATATATGTATATATATATACGTATATATATATATACTTAAATACGTCTAACCCGTCCAACATCTAGCCACAAGTCCGTTCAGGAAGACACTGATACGAACAAAATTCAAACTTTTTCCTTATTATAACTGATGTAAAAAAAAAAATCATCAAAGCGCAGTTTAGGAATAACTGGCTGCTTACGGGCGAGGCAGAAGCCGTGGCACTGCTCGAGAGTCCTGAAATTGTTGTCGTTGCCACCGCATTGGCTATACTGAAATGAGCGACACGTAGCCGTTGCTGTGTCGAAGTAGTACCGCGTAACAGGATCAGCCTCACGTACCGAGCAGCTTCCCGCATCGCGCGGTAACGAGCAAATTCGCTCTACAACATAACGCATCAAACAGCTGGACAAAAAATGCATTTTGAGTGAATGGATGTATCGTCCTGCGGTGTAACCGATCCTCCAATGATATAGTTACAGAATGTGATCAATAATATTAGTTGGCCGAGGCAGACTTGTTGCGAATTTCTGAAATCCATGATCAGTCTTCCTACTTCTCTGGGTCAGTCAACCCTCAATTTGCCTTGAAGGTGATTTTCACTTAGTGCGAAGTATATTTCGTCGTGCAGGATACCATTGCGACTATGCAAGAAATGTGAAATTCGACGGGCAATACATGCTGCTCGCCTTGCTGATAACCGCAATACTTACCGACGATCATTAGTAAGTGGTACCCGTGAGAAAGTAAAGGAACATTTGGGCGACCTCGGAAGAGGCGGTGCACATTCACCAAATATGTGGTGAGTATTAATCGAGAATATGCAGCGCAGGATCGAATGGTCTGACACAGCTGCATCCCTCGCGTAGTGGTATCCCAGTAATGTAGTCAACATGGATATCCACACTGATAGCCTGGACGCTTTCTTGGTATTTGTGGTATATGGGACCACAGTTTACCACAGGAAGTTCAATTCTTTAAATACGCATATGGCATCTTTGTCCGCTGTGACTCATCTTTCAACTCTCAGTGTGTACTTCTCAACTTCAAAGAAACAATCACAGGCGCCGAGTAGTCAGGTAATTTGCTCGCAGCTAGGCCTCACGTTCCTCATCACTTTATGGTTATGAGTTTTTCTGTCTCTTTTTTATTCGCGGCTACTGCCCTCTCGTTCGAGGGTAAACTGAGTCCGGGGCTTTTTAACGGGGTTTTGCTTCATCTAAAAAATATTCACGGGTTTCTCGGCTACAAAATTACCCTGCACTTTGTTTATTTCCATTCCCACCAGAGAACCACAGCGCTTGAGAAAATAAAAAAAGCAGCGTTACCATGTGATGGACAGCAGTAGCTTGCATTTCCAGATGATACGCAGTAATATCCACTTTGGCATGGAACAGCACCGGAACAGTGCGAAGGAGAATTGTTGAGAGGTTCACCCACAGGACAATGTTCTGAAGCAAAAAAAAATCCTAGAAAATTATGAAAACGAATGGTCAGATGCCTTGATACATTATTTATTTAATTGAAATACTCAGATCAGCTGAATTTCGTAATTTGGTTTTCGATCCATGCAATTGCAGATTTATTGACATTGTGTCTTCGACGCACTACGTGCGAGACACCCGGCGCTTTTCCAGCACTTTTGAATACTTTTGATATTTATTAGATGTTAAGTTATTTATTAGATGTTAAGTAATAAGAAGACGTATGACGGAAGATTACGACAGATACGGTAAGAACAATTTAAGAAATGCAG